GCTCGGAAGGCAGTCGATTGACGCCCCATATCGGTCCAGGCAGTCTGCCCAGTTGTGTGTGTTCTGTAGTGTGTCAGACTGGTGGGCTGAGAGCCAGGCTGTCACGGCCCCTTCTCAAACGATCTGTGACACTCTCATGCATGTGAGTAGAGTGTGTTTTTTGACAGTGTCGGGCATTTGACTTGTGCCCGGGTGAAGCAATTCAGAGTGAGGCCATCCCTGGGCAATCCATCATCATGTTAAATCTACTTATTCACCATTATAATATATTTGACTCGCTTGAATTTATCCAAACTTGCCATTACGCGTCTCTTTTAAGGTTGCCAAATGACGGGCCAACTTACTCCCTCTCGGCACTGAGTCGGGCTGCGTTGGCCCTTAACAACTTGGCATCCACATTACTTACAATCGTGTTAGACGCCAGTCGCACTCATGAGCGCCCCGCACATGTCGCGGAGACCAGCTCGTTTTTGGCAGGCATAGTTGGGAGTTGTTTTGGTTTGTCAGCCACAGCGTCCGAGCCCATCTTCGGTCGTCTTGGCATTGGCTAGACAGCGGGGCGCAGTGTATGAGGGGAAAGTGCGCTAGATTCTGCATAAGTCTAAATCACCATAAACTAATTCACTCGAGTCACCGTCCTGCGCCTACTCCGCATAAAACACTGTGGTCATTGTCGTTCGCGGCGTCTGAGTGCACGAGGTGTAATGCCCCGAAACCCATGTTACTGCGGTATGGTCACTCCCGCTTCGTTAATGCGACTGAATGGCCGCTACAGGACAATACGCTGACAGAGAGTTAACATACACAACGCAGTCTAATTCGGGCTTATCAGGCACAATCATGGTTAAAGCAAGTACCCGCAAGCAATACACTAAATACTACTACATACATCGATAAACTTGTTGGATACTTCTTCTGCGTACAGATCTGACACCCCAGCCCTCAATCTGTGACTCCATGCAGCCATGCTCGGCACGGCCGCCGTACGTTGTTAAATACTCTTGACCGACGAGTTAAACGCGAAGAGGTATCGGGCTTGCGAATGGCGCAAGACCGGGTAGTCTCCTCACTTGTTTCCATTACCCTTTCTCATTCACCATGTAAAAAGTCCTATAAAAAGAGCGACTTGTAATCCCGTAGGTGGTCCAGCCTAATTTAAGTCGCCTTCCCACTGTAACAAGGGCGTGGAATTGCGGCGTTCGTCAGCTGCATGAGGTGACTTGACAGTGAATACCCCTCGTTGCGGAGTTCGCTAGAAAAAAATGCCATCGGCAAGCAGAAATAACAACAACCCTCATCTTTAGCTCCCTGCCACCCAACAACCAGTCACAGCGATCTTCCTCATTACAGCAGCCTAAAATGTTCGTTCGCTTTTTGACAACCCGATAGCCAACTGGCCAGAAGAGAGTTCAGTTCTGATAGCCCGGGAACCGACCTGCTGAAAAGTGGACACCGAGGCTGTCAGTGGGACCTGCTTCTCTGAACAGAGTCAGCCGGAGGAAGTGGATTCCGGATACGTCTTGTGGGGCGCAAGTGCAAAGGCCGAAAGTTAAGAACCCAGAGTAGCTTCGTTACTAACGATGACTCCGTGGGAAGGCTGCCTTGTCTCCTGTAGGTGATCGGGGACCGTCTCGCGAGCATGAGGCTGCCGCCTAGGGGAGGGGGGGCAGTTCGGAGCCACCACCAGATCTCACTTTCCCACACTGACAAGTCAAAATGGAGGAAAGGAAAACTTCCATCGGACCTGTACTCACTCTTTACGTCTACTCCATTGAAGAACAAACTTATCATCCTCGGAGATTTCAGTGTAAAGGGCGTCACAAATTACACCACCTTGGAGGAAGGGTCCCGTTTGCACGAAACCGGCAAATGCAAAGGCAACAGCCTTTTTCCGTTGCCGGTCGTCACAGAATACCACCTCCCGTCTTCTAACAACATGAACGCATTTAGGTTGTGTGGCTGGCAACTGCACCACTGCGTTCCCATTAAGAGGAATGATGTGCTAATGGCAAAGGCAAGGACTGGTATGGAAAGCTGGACTAATCAGTATCTTGTCGCTGCGATCTGACCCAGCAACCAAAGCCACTCTGGTGAGTGCATGAGGTGTGAAAGGCCAGGAGCCCGATCACGTGCATAGTGCAGAGCAGCACACATTCCAATCCGTTCTTCTGTGATGGAGGTTGGCGTTGCCTAGTCGAATAAGGTCCAGACGTCCCAGGTGGCTGCCAAATTTGTCATCGCTAAAATTTAGCGCAGAAAATGTGCGAACCAAAACAGATTGAACTGTGGTAGTCAGGAATAGGAATTCGCCCTGCGAATCTTGACGTCCTGAGAGCCTCTGTCTGAGCCAATTGCCCGTTTACAATGGAAGTTCATCTTGCTTATTATTCGTTTGCATCTGTAAACCAGAAATTGGAAGGCGCTGAGGCATGGATCGTCTAACACCGCCATTGTTTATTCGCGAAACGTCAAGTCAGATGATTTAATAGCTAGTTCTCGCAGAAAGCCACTCCAATATACGTAACTCGTAGACGTGCCGGGTTGTCAGATGCAAGGCGAACGTGGTCTGTCATCCTGCCAACGCAGAAAACCCTGTCATCAGAAGCTGGCAAGGCCGCCGCCCCCCTTCGTACTCAGTGTGTGCTACCGTAAAATGCTTGCAGG